CCGTACTCTCTCGCGATACCTTCCAGACATATGTAATACTTTCTGCAGTCGTCGGGATGGGCGTGTCTGCTGAAGCTGCCGGATGCCCCGCTCACTTCGCCGGCGGCTGGACACGTGAAACCTCCTGCGACTTCTGCACAATGGCGATAAATATGCATATGTAGAACCGTAATGAGATGCGTAATAGTTCGCGATCAGTGAGACGAGAAAGTTGAGACGATGTTCGAATCAAGGAAACGCATGCAGGATGTGCGTGGGAACGGATCGTCACGTATCGTTGGTCGAAGCCACGCGATGAATGAATGATATTCAAGGAGAGGCTTAATAGATTTTTCGTGCGTTGTATGATGTTCTCTGATATATTAAATGGTGTTATCTCCATCTTCGAAGAGATACGTTTTTATTACGCGTTAATTTTACAGAATATAAAAGGAATGGAAAAAAAATATAGAAAAAAAAATATGGTTAATTATTCCTTTTAATTATATTCGTCGGATGCTATAAAATTTCACGAAAGTCATAATTAATGTTTGTGATGAAAGATGCGAAAATTGTCGAGTTATTATCAAATATAATTATCGATAAAATTTATTTATATATGAAACTTACCTGGCTATTGAATAAAGTAATAAAATTACCGATTCTTAATAAATAAACAGACGAGAAAAGATTAATAACTTTCGACTGAAATCGTGTCATAATCAAGAATATGTGGCTTTCTTTTTATCCGAATCAATTTGAATTTCTTCGATATTTTAATAAAAAAAAAAAAAAAAAAAAAAAAGAACAAGAAAAGATTAATCTTAAAAAATTGCTTTTTACGTTTTTCTATGATATAAAATACAAAGAATCCATACCTTTCTTTTTATCCGAATCTTTTCGGATTTTTAAAAAAAAAAAGAAGAGACTAACATCTATATCTCGTTTTCATCCCACGTTCGAATAAATAAAATTGCATTTCACAATGTAAAATACAATAAAAAATACATACCTTCGTTTTTGCATTCAGGTACTTGGTCGGCCCACATACAAACTCTCGCCTCACGGTCATAAGCGAGTCCAGGACTGCACTGATACTTGGATGCCTCTCCGTTCCAACAGTTCCAGAACACGTCGCATTTTTTTTCGTCCGGAAAGATACCGTATAGACGCGGACAATGCGGCGTGCTGATCGCCGGTTCGAGCTGCGTCCTGTCCCCGCAATCCACGTTGTGCAGATAATCGCAATTCTCGGTGAGGAACTTGCTATCGCTTGCGTCGAATGCGAGCCCATTGCCGCAAGTCTTCAACTCCGCTACATTGTTGTCGCATTTCCAATATTTGTCGCAGGATATGTGGTGGGGATAGAAACCGAAGTCGTCCGGGCATTTGAACGATTCTTGGGCGGTTGCGCCTGTGGAAAAAAAAAAGGTAAACAAAAGAGAATACTTTTAATTATATAAAAATACGACCACGAACGAAGGAAGGTAATCTGGTTCGCATCGAAAGTAACTCGAAGGAATGCCGTTTTTAAATGGTGAAACTAAGGAAATTCTTTCGTCGTCGGTAATTCTTCGAAAGAAGAATCGCGTTACCAAATTACAAACTTTCCATCGAAATAATCCTAAATTATACGTGTCCGTGAACAAAACTCGCCCAATCATTGTTTCCAAGACAAATGAAACGAAATCAACGGAGAAAAAGTACGTTTCGCGGTTTAGATCCTGTGGCAGATCAACGTAATTCAATTTTACCGTTATTTTCGCTCTCGGGAGAAGATTAAACGATAAGATCGATCGTCGACCGCAACGCCCTCCCCACCATTGCGTTGCATCTTCTCCCTCTCCCGCCTCGATTCTTCCTTTATTCTCGTTCTTCGCGAAAGAACACGTACGGAATATTCAGAGAGACAAAGACAACGTTGCACTATCGACATCAACTGAGTGCTAGTTTTTTTCCCAGCTACGATTGCACATGCCTAATAATCCGTTATTCTTTTCTCGCGATATATGACGTCTGAATAACCTAAACGTGTTATGTAAGGACACGAAGTGACTTTCGCCAGGCGCTTTCACTTTGGGCCTAGAGCCAGACCCACCGTCAGCAGCCGCA